TTTAAAGTGCAAGATTTTAGCTGAGCATTAATGAAACCCTGTTAAGAAGTTCTGTGCTAATTCACAATCACTTGATCACATAATCAATCAGAATGGTGTGCAGAGGTCTCCATCTGTCATGTTGCTTTCACTGGGTAGAAAACAGAAGCAGGAGTTGTCTGAGATATTTTGAGACTCAGGTGGGAAGAAAGGGACTCTTCATGTGCTGATCTTCCATAAACATTTATGCACTTGCCCGCACTGAGATGCTAACTTGGTGCACTTGGTGTTATACAGACGGGTGATGAAGTAAAAGGAAAACCCAACATGACATGTCTCAGGAAGATGTTTGTCCACCATGAGCTGCTGAAAGAGCTTCAGTGCACCACAGCGTTGATTCTACAAGTCGCTAATGTTGGGATGGATGACATTCTTCCAAAGGATAATCCCTTATTTGGTGAAGATAAACATTATTCAGTTGGGTGAAGATCTGGTTAACCAAGGCCATAGCATGTGATTCATTTTCACATTCAAACATTTCACTGGGCATAGGTCATCGTCCTCTTGCCTCTGCTCCTTTTTCCGGTGTTTCCCTCAGTTCACCACCCGTCTGTATATCTTACTGTGACAGTGTTCTACCTATGAGAGCTCGGTCCTGCAGCCGGTGGGATCTGACAGCTTGTTGTGCAAGGGAAGGAGGATATGAATCCAAGTCTCTGTTTTGGCTGTAAACTGAAAGTGCACTTTATTAGTGATGAGCTTCAGTGCTTTAATATGAAGAACCACAGTCTAATACGTCCATTTGGAGTTTTTATTTTCTTCTGTTCAATAAAATGACTATCAAACCACTGACTGGATTGTTTGTTGTTAATTCCTCTGCTGAGGAGGCTGAAGTGTGAAAAACCACAATGGCTTCTTCTCTCATGTAAGCAGTGATCTTGGGATGACACTGTTGGTTACTCTGTCCAACACTTTGTCCTCCCTGACACCGCAACAACTACTCCATAGACTATCATGAAATATTGAGCCGACATTCATGATTTACAGACGGTTTCTACTTCTACTGACTTTGGTGATCCTTTGGTGAGCAAAATTAGATAATGAATGTATAATTACAATAAAATGGACATTAAATTATAACATAAACCTGGCTGAGGCACACAATTGTAAAGCAGTAATTCTATCGTGGATGTATATTATTGTCTAAATGTTTCAGTTTGAACACTATTCTGAAAACATGCTGAGAATTAGTCTGACTACATAAAGCTTTAGTCTCATTACTTGTCTATCATGTATGAGAACGTCTTGATAACAGCTTCTCTGGAAAACAAGATCATTCCCTGGAGACCATTCAACATCATACTACAGTTTTCTCAGGAAGAAGAGACTCAGCAGAGTTTCATGGTGAATATGTATCATCTCCAAGTCTGTTCACAATATGTCTTAGCTTTGTGTTTGTTTTGGTTTTCACTGAAAATTAGACATGTCTGTCTTCACAGCTATCAGCTTTGTGTCCTTTCACTCACCCTGAAACCTCAGCTAATCCCACAGGGGGAAAAAAATGACAGCGCCTGCCAGGAGTCTGCCACAGTTTTTTCTCTGTGTTGATACTTCTGCCTTTTACGTCCTCTTTCCCTTTGTTTGCTACCTCAGCTGACGGTCTGCTCCCGTCCAGCGAGCAAACACAGCTCAGGCAGTCGAACATTCTGAGGAGTCACAAACCTCTTGATTAACAAAAATGTTGGATATTTGTGTCTTAATGGAAAATATGAGTCGGCACACTTTAATTTTGAATGGATTCAGTGACAATTTCTAGTTGTTCACGAATTACTGGGCTTACAATTCCCTATAAATGGTGTAGTTAGTCATATATATATATATAAATGCAGTGTTGTAGATGTTATCCCCCACCTAGAACGCTCTGATTCAACCCGTCATCTTTCCTCTCTCCTCAGAAGTCGATGTGCTGCTCTGACCTGTTTCTCTTTAATGTTTTTGAAATGACAACACAGTGAAAAACCACTGTATTGTCTTGGACATGATCTGTTTCTCAGAAACACTTTCTCAGAGAGGCGTACAGAGGGATGCGCACACATAGAATTTGTTGCGACAGCAAAAATTGTTTCCATGTAATAACAGCATTTTTTACCCTCAGCATCTTCCCAGAAACTAAAGATTTAATAGGTTTCAGTGAAGTAACGCCAACCAACAATGAACAACAATGATGAGCCAATGTTCAGTTTATAATAATGTCTGCTCTATTTTTGTACAAGGTCATTTCTGGAAAACAAAGTAATAAACTTTCAGATCAGTGTGATCACTTTTCCAAATACCATGAAGTGTTCAGAGGAAGAATAAGCATATTTACATATATATATATACATTTTACTCTAATTGTTTTGTTTTTAAATGGTCTTTTTAAATTTTTATGGGCAAATGAGTGACATAATAGTTTTTTGTATCAACAAAGCCCTTTGCTCTGGGGGGTTTTCATACTATGAGATGTTCTACCTTCTTGTTCACATGCTGCTTCCTTAAAAATCACAGTTTGAAAACTTTTCTCAGGGTCACTTACAGATTTATAGTTAAGATAAATTCAACTTTAATAATCCCATGCCAGGGAAATTCACTCATCACAGCAGCGGATGGTTAGAACGAGGTAGACAAGAGAAGATGTTAGAGAACAAAATAGATATAGTATAGAGATATAGGAATACAAATACAGAGAATATACATGTACTTGAGAAAAGTGCAGTAACACAGGATGATTGCATGAGGATGTAAACTCTATTGTTCATTATGTAAAAGGAGATTTTGAAATTTACATGTAGATATATATGCATAATTAGACTGTTATAAGTATATAGTATGAATGATTATGAGTTTTAAAATTGTATGTGTTTAATATATGTATATGATTGGTTATAATTTCATCGATCAATATAAGAATGTATGTTTGTGTCTATGTTTCTTCCACTATGGCTTTATTTCAATTGACTTGTGCAATCTCTGCAACTTTATTGCCTTTTTTTTATAACGGATAAAACTATGCAACACAATCTTGGGCCGTTAGTCATGACTATTTTGGTGACAGCTGCTCGGAAAAAAAGCCCAAAATAAAACCGAGCTTTTAGTTTCTTACTGATTGTTGGAGCAGTGCTCTAAAAATAGTCTCTAGATGTAAATTCCTTTGCAAAGTCCCTGGAGAGAGGAGGGCTCATAACTTTCCGTTAGTCTTTCTTGACTTCCAGCTGCCAAGAGCACAACCAGCTTGTCCTGGTGCCACAATCAACCATATGCAGTGTGGCTCAAGTTTAACACATCACCATGTTAATGCCAGGCTGAGTGACCTGTGATAAGAGAATCAAGTAGTTTCAAAGTCACAAAAAAAATTATATAAAAAGTGGTAAACTATAAACAATGGTAAATATTTCTGACTTCAAGCAGTTGTACGTAGGATTTTGTTGTGATGAGTGTCAGATGAACTAGTCAGTCAATGATTAGCACTCATCTCTGTTTATCCTCAAGAAAAAACAAGAAAAAACATAAAAGTGAGATTAAAAAAAGAACTTTCTCAGTAAAGACTTTATTTCTCAAACACAGACAAAAAAAACTCACAATATCCAAACCGTTTGAATCCTGTGTGTCCAGTAACCTCCTGATTAGCATGTGTGTGCTTGACAAAGGTTACAAAGTTGTGGGAGATTCACAAAACACATAATTAATTAAAATGGCTCTTCTTTTGAATTTCCATCAAAGAGACTCCTCGGAGT